CCGAGGTGCTAGTCAACTTTCCATCTAATCATTCCATCCAAAAGGATAATTCCGTTTGTTTGATTTGAGATCACCAAAGGTTAACTAGTCATAATTACGATTTTAATGTACATTTTTCAACGGTTGAAATATAGATGAAAATAAAAATTTCAACGAAAATTGTATATTCAAACGAAAAATTCTTACGATAAAAATATTTGTTGGAACAACAACCTTTGAAATGATCAAATATACCATTTTCATTCCAACAGAATAATTCAGTTGGAATTTTTGTTGGAATCATTCCAACGGAAGCTATACTATTGAAATATCCATTGAAATTTACATTGGAATATAAAACTATACTATTGAAATATCCATTGAAATTTTTATTGGAATATATTAATGTAGGATTTTCTGTTGAAATATGTCTTTTTTTTTGTGTTCGAAATAGCCCAAAATGATGTGTTTTGTCAGCACATAAGTTAACATATCATATAGTTTTAATAAACATTAAATTTACAGTGAAATTTATTAACTTAATTTGTAAATCTATTAATTAATTCTTTCATGCTTTTATTAGGTACAGATTTTTGTTGCATACATATAATTTTTTTTTAATAAAAAAACTCTATTTCAACGAAGGAAGCTTAACACCAAACATAAAAAGGGCAGATTTTTATTAGACTAATGTAGTGTTCCAAAACATTCATATTCTTTGTACTCAAATGCTATATTTAAAAATGTATATATTATAAGGAAAAATATGATATTTTATATATCAAGTACTCCCTCCTTTTTTAAATAAATGTCGTTTTGACTTTTTTGATTCATCAATTTTGCTATGTATCTAGACATTAATATGTCTAGATACATAGCAAAATGGATGAATCAAAAAAGTCAAAACGACATTTATTTAAAAAAGGAGGTAGTATTTTTTTATAAGAAAGTTAATTGTCTAGTTGTTACATATATAGCCTAATAACAACATTTGTGAATATAAAAACTCTTCCTTGCATCTGGAGTGAAATCAATGCTATTAAATTGAAAACATATAATTAATATTTAATTTTGCTTCCCCTTTTTATTCAAATTTTAGCTTGGCTAAGAGTTAATTCCACTAGTATTCGACCTGTGCATTTGCACATATGTAAATAAAGTATTATGAGTTATTTATTCGACATGTGCATTTGCACAGATGTAAATAAAGTATTATGAGTTATTTGTATGCATATAGTGATTAATAATTTTTCTTGCACTTTTGGTCGGCCAAATTTACATTTAAAAGAGTTGGAATATTTATTTTTTTAAATTGCATTTATCATATTGGATGTAATGTATATTTTGGTATGTATTTTTTTATGAATTATTTATTATTTATTTAAGGATTTCAAATGTTTTTTATTTCTCAAAAGAAGTTAATTTAATTGTACAGAAATGCTCCTCTACCCACGGTGGGCACATGTTAATATGCCCACCGCGTAGGTGGCATGCACTCATTGGTGTTGTTAATATGTTTAAAAAAATACATCACCAATGAGTGCATGCCACATACGCGGTGGGCATATTAACATGTGTCCACCGTGGGGAGGGGAGCATTTCTCTTTAATTGTAACCACAACAATAACATCTAATCACGTTAAATAGTCAACACATTATATGGTCAGTTGTAATTAGATCAAAAGTTTAAAATTATTTTTGTATTTTGAAGTGATTAGTTTGTTAATTATCTAATAATTAAATGAGAGGTTAAATAAATAAAAAGTAACGGTTTTTGGAGGGAAAAGCTATATTGCCACATAGGTATAATTTAATAGGTTTAATTTAATGCTCATGTGCTAGCAATTATATATATATATAGATTCTATTAATGTGGACAATTTGAGTTTATTCTGTTATATTAACACGCACGGTGCAAGTTTTTATGAATGTATGCGATACTTCGGTTTATATTTTAATTTTTCAAACGTCTGATCATCATATATCTGTAGCAAGTGCATGTATAAATGTATATTTCAATTATTTCATTGCCCAACAAATATCCCTCTCCACTGCGACGTCGTTTTGCAAGAACCAAGCACAATTACGATCCAAACCATTGATTCATCTTAGTTGCCATTTACTTTTGACCACGACAAAATTGTCTCATGGATATAGTTAAGATTTTACCCCCTTCTCTATAAGTTACCACCCTTGTGGTCCTACCCGGCTCGATTTCGGATTAGTCGGTTCCCCTGTAGATCTGGAAACCGGAAGGTCCCTGTACCAAAAAAAAAATACCATGTCAATTACGTCATTAATTAATTAATCACGTCAGCCAAAACATTTATCCCTCTAGGAGCCTACTCGAACATTCTGACAAAAATTATTACTACCAAAAGATTTGAATTCAAATTGCTATATTTAAAGGACAAAGTCCACTTTTAGTCCTCCATGTTTAGGGGTATCCAGACTGAGTCCCCATTATTTTTTGCTGCTCAATTTTAGTCCTTAAAACAAAAAAATGTAGTCTCTATTATGTTTTGGTGCCCAATTTTAGTCCTTAAAACAAAAAATGTAGTCCCTATTATGTTTTGGTGTCCAATTTTAGTCCTTAAAACAAAAAATGTAGTCCCTATTATGTTTTCGTGCCCAATTTTAGTCCTTAAAACAAATAAATATAGTCCCTATTATGTTTGGGTGCCCAATTTTAGTACTAAAAATAAAAAAATGTAGTCCATATTATGTTTTGGTGCCCAATTTTAGTCCTAAAAACCAAAAAATGTAGTCCCTTAACCTCAATTTATGTGAATTAACGGTCCATTTTTGTTAATAACATCAAAGTAGTTGTGTAAAATAATTTAAAACATCGAAAAGATGTAATCAAATTTCAAAGGAACAAATTATTGAGGCACTGGCCATGGACAAAATTGTCATTTACGAGTTCTTCAAGCAGTTCCCCAACTGCCGAACGTACGACGACCCAGGAGGCTCGTCAGGGAAATGCGCAAGGCACTAGAAAATGAGCCGGACCCACTCACGGACGAGTGGATGGATTGTTGTGTGCAGGGTATGTAATATAAATATATAATTTTATTATTTAATATTTAATAATTAATAATTATGCAATGAATGTATCATGATTTTTATAATCAGGTCAATAATTTGTTCCTTTGAAATTTGATTACATCTTTTCGATGTTTTAAATTATTTTACACAACTACTTTGATGTTATTAACAAAAATGGACCGTTAATTCACATAAATTGAGGTTAAGGGACTACATTTTTTGGTTTTTTGGACTAAAATTGGGCACCAAAACATAATATGGACTACATTTTTTTATTTTTAGGACTAATATTGGGCACCCAAACATAATAGGGACTATATTTATTTGTTTTAAGGACTAAAATTGGGCACGAAAACATAATAGGGACTACATTTTTTGTTTTAAGGACTAAAATTGTGCACCAAAACACAATAGGGACTACTTTTTTGTTTTAAGGACTAAAATTGGGCACCAAAACATAATAGGGACTACATTTTTTTGTTTTAAGGACTAAAATTGGGCAGCAAAAAATAATGGGGACTCAGTCTGGATACCCCTAAATATGGAGGACCAAAAGTAGACTTTGTCCTTTTTTTAAAGTATAAAACTATTATGATTATGGGTAATATCTGGTACTACTTGTCGGGTAAATCTAGTACAACTACTAGTCTTTGTTTATACCGATTCAAATTGCGCACATACATCACATGTATACAGTTCAAATTAAACTACGTAAACGTAACCTATTTTTAAATATTCACAAAGTAAACGCGCGCCTATTATTATCCGCATTAAAGTCATAGAAAAAGACAGCCAAAATCCAAATTCGGTGATCCAATTCAATATTCGATGATCAACACAATTATATCATGCAATATTACCTTTAATCTAAAGTCTGCCCATTAATTAATTACCATTTAACAACTTAAAAGTCGTCAAATAAAAAAAAAAAAAAATTAATCAGATCCTTTCAAAGCCACCATGACTGACCAAACCGACCCGATCAATCCCCTCAAAATGACAATATATATACTGTATACAACCACATACTATACATACATTCCAAAAAGTCTCTCCTTCAATTTTTCTACAACATGGGCAACGCCGCCACCATCGGCCCGTGCTTCCGGCCGCCGAACCCCTTAGCCGCCGCCGTCACTCTCATACCCCACGGCGGCGGCGCTGCCAGAACCCTCGCTGGGAAGCACCTCGCCGGCGAGATCATGTTCCAGTTCCCGGACCGGATGGTCTGCCCAGCCGACTCGTTCTTCATCGGCCGGCCTTCCCCAGCCCTCTCTATCGAAGACGAACTGGTCCCGGGCCGCACATATTTCCTCCTCCCCATCGACCTGTTCGGGCCGGTCCTGTCCCCCTCGTCCATGGCGGCCCTGAGGCCCGTGGGCCAGGGCCATGCCGGGTTCAAGGGGTGCCCGTTCGAGTATGGGAGGGGGCCGGACGGCAGGGTTTTGATACGGGTCGTGCCGGAGTTCATCGCCTGGTTGATTAACGGTGGCAGCAGTGAGAGCGGTGACGGGGGCGGCGGCAACGGCGGCGGCAGCCCTCTGTGCAGTACGCCGGAGCTGCAGAAACATTATGATCAGCTGGTTGGGTGTAAGGATAGAGTTAATTGGTCGCCCAAGCTGGAGACCATTTCTGAGTGCAAAATTAGGTTTTCGCCGTGTAGGTTCATGGGGCTCCAGTGGAAAAAGGAGGAAATCGATGGGTAAATATGCAAATGTTTTATTATTTTCAGTTTTAGGGTAGGGACTAGGGAGGGTAATTATCTTCGCACATTGCGTTTGATCTTCTGACGACCCAGTAAGGGTGAAATACAACACCGACCAGATAGAAATATATAATGTGGGTTCAAAATTTGGGTTTGCAATTGTTTATAAAAACACTGTGTGAATTTAAGGGTGCATCTTTATAATCTATATTTCTATCTGAATCCTTGTGTTTGTGTTTTGTCCAGCATGTGATGATGCAAAACCAATGAAATGTTTGAATTATTGAATTACAATTCAATTGAAATTATAACCTTGTTGAAATGAGCCTTTTTTTTTTTTCGAAACGTATAAATATTATTACTCAAACGCAACAATATACATTGGCCAATCAATTGATTGAATGTTTCTGACATCTAGCCCTACAGCTAAATCTCAGAAACTTGGGATAGCTTTTATATGGCTACCCTTACAAACCAAACACAAAAACCGACAGGGGAACACACAAAACCACCAAAAAACCTCCCCTAATACAAAAAGGCTACTGGACAGGAAACAACAAAAAAAGATAAGGAAAAGCACCAAAAGTAATTACAACCAGCTTGTTTTTGTTCAATGGCCAAAGAAAACAATCACAGCCGGATGAAACTGGACAGATGCTTGCCTCAGCACTGACAATGGACTTTGCCCTACTTCTGCAAACACCTCCCAAGCACTCCTTCCTACTCTATCGCTGACTCTCCAATCCCATTATATAGATTAAATTCTATCCATTCCCTTCTTGCTCCTTCTACTATCTCCTTCTCAGGCTTCCACTCTTTCTTAAAGATCCAGTTATTTCTAGTGCGCCACAACCACCATAACAAGTATGTTGTTAGCTCTATTCTATCTTTCCTGCTCTTTCCTTTTTCTATGGTGATTACAGCTCCCCACCATTTTTTGAAATCCTCCTTCTTATCTTTCAGACCATCCCAATCAAGCCCAGACAATTTCCAAACTGTTTTGGCTCTTGTGCATGCAAACATGATGTGTTCCAGAGTCTCCTCTTCTTCTCCACATTGATGACATATTTGGTCGACTTCCATTCCTCTTTTCTTCAATTGCACTTGGACTCCTAGAAAATTATGCCAGCATCTCCACACAAACAATTTGATTTTGCTTTTCACCTTCAGTGCCCATGTTCTCTTCCATATCTTCTGTTGCATTATTTGATTTCCACTTGTTCCAGGACTGTCTTTACTCATACTCCATTTGTTGACCAAAAATTGATATATATATTTGACTGAGAAGATACCTTTAGGGCAGATAAACCAGAAGAGTTGATCTCTCCTTCCTGCTACTGGTGGTGTGAGTTTGAGTATTTCTTCAGCTTCAACTGGGAGGAATGTCTGCTTGATTAACTCTTCATCCCATCCTCCATATTCTTCTTTGCATAAGTCAGCAACTTTTCTTACAGTATTTTTATCCCTTACAAAACAACAAACAGGCTTAGCAAAAGGAGAGTTGGGAATCCATGAGGACTCCCAAATATCAATAGTACAACCATCCCCAATTTTATACCTCATCCCCAGCCTCAAAATATACCTGGCTTTCAACCATGACTTCCAAAGCCAAGAATCAGAATTTTTTGGAACCACATCATAAAGGTTTTGATTGTGAAAATATCTACCTTTAATTACTTGGCTCATCAAAAGGTTAGGTTGGGATATAACTCTCCAAAGTTGTTTAGCTATTAAGGTGTCATTGAAGAGAAGAAAATTTTTGAAGCCCAGACCCCCCATTTCCTTAGGTAAAGCTAATTTATCCCACCCTCCCCAATGAATTCTTTTCTTCCCTTCTTCAGAACACCCACACCAAAAATCAGCAATTGCTTTACAAATATTTGAACAAATACCTACAGGCAATTTGAAACATGACATAATATACACTGGTAAGGCTCCTAAAACTGACTTAATCAAAATTTCTCTCCCTCCCTCACTCAAGAATCTATTTTTCCAGTTTGACACTCTAGAGGTAACACAATCAGACACAAATTTGAAAGTGTCCAATTTGGATTTTCCTATACCCAGGGGCATCCCCAGGTATTTGGAAGATCTGACAACTTGAATCCCACCAAACAGTTGACAAATGTAGTCCTTGGAATCATTTGAAGTATTTTTGGAAAAGAAGATAGAGGATTTAGAGAGATTTATAACCTGACCTGAAGCCTTCCCATAAGAGCTCAAAATGGAATATAGGATATCTGCATTCTGCTTATTAGCTTTACAAAAGACAATCGAATCATCTGCAAATAAAAGGTGAGTAATTGCTGGAGCAAAAGGACCTATTTTGATACCACTGAAATTGGAAAATTTTGAAGCTTGATTAAGGGAAAAGGATAGGGCTTCTGTGATGATAAAAAATAGGTAGGGAGACAAAGGATCTCCCTGCCTTAAACCCCTTGATGGTTTCACATAGCCCTTAGGTTGCCCATTAATACTAAAAGAAAATGAGGCTGTATTTAAGCAACAAAAAATCCAAGAAATGAAAGTTTTACAAAAACCCAATTTTTCCAAAATAAGGATGAGGAAATCCCATTCAACCCGGTCATAAGCTTTGGACATGTCTAATTTCAGGGCCATGAAGGAATTTCTCCCTTTTTTTTTTGCTATTCAAAAAATGGATGCATTCATTAGCAAGGATAATATTATCTACAATTTGCCTACCCGGTACAAAAGCTGCTTGATTAGGAGAAATACATAGGTGAAGAACTGTTTTGATTCTGTTAGCCACAATCTTGGATATAACTTTATAAATTACTGTGCATAGGCTTATAGGCTGAAAATCAGATACTTTTTGAGGGTTAAGAATTTTGGGAATAAGAGAAATTATAGTATGGTTTATTTTTTGAGGAATGCACCCTGACTGAAAAAAGTTTTTCACAGCTGCACAAAAATCATCCCTAATGATATGCCAACAGGATTGGAAGAAAAGTGGGGTCATACCGTCTATCCCTGGGGCTTTGTGGGGGTTCATCTCCATCAGTGCATCTTTAATCTCTTCATCTACCACAGCTTTTATCAAGGACTGATTCATTTGGTCAGTGATTACCCTCTGCATTCCCTCTAAACTACATTCCTCCACTCTGTGTTCAGTCGATGTGAAGATTTTTTGGAAAGAATTCACTATTTCCTCAACTATTTCCTTCTCTTCTCCACAGCTTTCTCCATTATCTTTCATCAGATAAGCAATTTTATTTTTTATTCTTCGATGTTTAACACAGGTATGAAAATACCTTGTGTTTTTATCACCATTTTTGAGCCACTGTATCCTTGATTTTTGCCTCCAATATTCTTCTTCCTCCAAATATGCCTTCTGAAGTTTCTTCTTAATCTCCATCCAGTTATCCCAATCTTTCCTGCTCCCCTGGTTTAGCATCACTGCTAGTTGAGCATTGTAGCTATCAATGAGTAGAGCTGAATTAGTTGCCTGAGATGTTTTCCATTTTAGCAAGGCCATTCTTGTGTTTCTGATTTTACTCTGTATGCTGTAAAGTGGAGGCCCATAGACCTGTTTCTGCCAAGCTTCAGTCACTGCTTCTTGGAATCCATTCTTCCTTGGCCATCTTGCATCAAAATAAAATCTTTTCTTCCTTTGACCTGACCCTGGATTAGTATCCATCAAGAGAAGACAATGATCAGAGGATATCCTAGGAATGTGTGTGGTAGTAGTCAGAGGAAAGGATAAGAGCCACTCATCTGAAAAAAGGAACCTATCTAATCTCTCCTCAACAAATCCTTCCCCATTTCTATTATTAGACCAAGTGTAAGGGTAGCCTTTAAATCCTATATTCTGAACTTTAAGCCCCCATATAAAATTCCTAAAACTTCTAAAGCTACTTTCAGACCTAACTTTACCCCCTCTTTTTTCCTCATTAGACACCAAGTCATTGAAGTCCCCCCCCAAAAACCACTTATCTCCCCATAACATACTATGTCTCTTAATAGCTTGCCATTGAGCATCCCTCTCTTTACCACAGTTACTAGCATAAACAAAAACCGCCCAAAACTTATTAGGATTATTAGGTAACATAAAACAAACTTCTAATCCAAAACAGCTACTTATAATATCCACAATAGAGACATTATCAGACCAACACAGAAAAAGACCTCCCTTAAGATCTACTGGGTCTACTACATACCATCTATCCTCTACCTTCAAGTTTTTACGCACAGTTTTAATAAAGTTTTTCTTCTTTTTTGTTTCAAACAAAAACACAAAATCTGGGAGGTGGAATCTCATTGATTCCTTTAATTGGGAATTGTAGAGGGCCCCCCCAGACCTCTACAATTCCACACCATCACTTTCATTGACACCCTTGGGACCATTTCTGGCTGGTCTCCTCCACCATCTTTAAGACTGACTCACCCTGAACTTCAGCTGAATTTATTGTTTTCTGTTTTTTTGGAAACCTTGAGTCCAACTCAGAATCAATCAAAGTTAACTCTGTTTTCCTTTTACTATTATCCACAGTACTACCTGAATGAGAGACATGAGCATTACCTGTTTCCTGAGCTTTCCCTACCTTTTTAACTGTTATTCTATGTTTTCTACCCTTTTGAAAAGACTCCAATTTAGGATTGAGATCATTCATAATTCTCGCATTAATAACTTTAACAGGCACAGATATTAAATTATCTAAGATCATCTGATCATCATTATCTCCACTCTGATCATCTAATTTCTCTCCCACAGGCTCCCCAAAATTATTAACTATAAGACTCCCAGGTTGGACCTGATTCTGGCTAGCTGTATTATTATCTGAGGAAGGACCACTACCTAAGGATCCTAGATCTTTATCTCTCAACAACCCACCAACCTCCTCACTACCCTCTACACTAATTCTGTTATTATCCTCCCCTATTTTAGCATGAGAAACCAAACCCTCACCCTCCACATATTTTCTACTCCCTATATTATCTTTATACTCACTAGAACCGGACCCCACCCCCCCTCTATGACTTAACCCCCCCGAGTGGCTCTTAACCAATCTCCATATTGACCATTGACCAAACACTTCCCAATGACAGCCTCTTTTTTATCTTCACATGATCTCTCAGTGTGTCCAATCTTCCCACAATAGTAGCAGAAATTCTGGAGGTTCTCGTACTTGAAGTTGACCCATTTTGATTCTCCTCCCAACTTCAGATTCGTGCCCCTCAAGAGTGGTTCATTCAGATTTATTTCCACCAGTATTTTCACAATCCGCCCTCCTGCTCCTCCCATCTCAGGAACCACTACAACCATTACTCTATTGAAAAGTTGCCCAATCTTCAATCCCACCTCGTCTGACACCCAATGGAGAGGGAGATTGTGTATTTGCACCCACAACTCAATCTTCTGCTCTTCTGCTGTATACCCATTGTTCTCCTTGCTCCACTCTTTCAGTAGCAGATATTGTCCGTCAAAATTCCACGCTTTGCCTGCCAAGACCTTTTTCCTATCTTCCACTGATTGAAAGATAAATTGAAACTTGTTGTTACCCACAAACCTCGATATGAATGGCTGCTTGGTGTTCCAGATGCTCTGCATTGTTGTTTTGAGCCCCGCAAAATTCGGTTTTTTTCCCCAAAAATAGTCCCCATTAGGCTCAGCTCACACTCCTTTTTCCCAATTCGAATGTCCTTCGTCACAATTTCAATTCCTCCTTCTTCCTTTTCCGATAATTTGAATTTTTTGAATTCTTCTGCTAGATCTGACGCCATGTTTCTTCTGCCCACACTTCACTGACCTGTGAATCAGTCGATGACAATCACTGCAATAATAGAGATAGCTGCACTTAAGGAGAGACCCGTTTTAAGGGACTCCACAAGGGAAAGAGTAAACACCCTAATCTACAAGGTTTATCGACTACCAAACCCTAGGACCGGGTTGAAAGCGATAGGAAAATGGGAAAACTGAACAGGATTTTTAGATGGAAGAAATATGATCTCAAGTGAACAAAGGGGTGAACAAGAGAGATTAAGGAATTTGCAGAAAATTGATTGAAAAGATTCAAGGACTACATCCAACTAAGTGGAACTGGGGAACTCAAAGTTGAGACGAACACTCTAGAGAGAGACTCTGTGTGTGTTTCAGTTCTCAACCTTGTTGACATGAGCCTCAACCACAATAATGGGCGGATTAATATTATGAGTTAGAGGTGACGGTTATTCAACGTTTAGGGAAGAATATAATTAATAAGTTTTATGAGCTATGAATTAATATAAAGAGATCATAGATACCACTCTTGTAGGGTGACATCCACTGCCCGCAATAGCAGACAGTGGAGACGTCTCACCATGATTGGTAGATGTGCTCAGAAGCACATATTTTGGACTCTAGGTGAGGGGGCATTAGTTTTTGGGATGAGTGGTGGTTTGTTAAGGACTCCCTTTCGAACACTAGACAAGTTACTCACCTTCACTTTCTGTAGGTGAAGTACCTATGGGCGGAGGGGGGATGGGACAAGGATAGGCTAGAGAGGATTCTGGGTACTGGAGCGGGCCTTAGTGATCAGGTGATAGATGAGATCCAGCAGATTCCCATCTCGGATGACGGTTTGGACGGTATGAGGTGGAGACTTACATCTTCGAGTGCATTCTCTACGACCTCGGCTTGGGGGGATGTACGACAGGGTGACCGGCCTAACCTTCTCTTCGGGGCCATCTAGACTGACCTACTTACCCTTACCATCTCTGTTTTCCTATGGCGCTTCATTTTGCGCCGCTTACCGGTTGATACCGTGATGCAAGTGAAGGGGTTCTCTTTCCCCTCGCGTTGCTACTGTGAGACAGGCGATTTCCAGATGGAAACCTTCACCCATTTGCTTTTAGAGAGCGAGACTGTGAGAAGAGTGTGGGAGCATTATACTAGATACACTCATAACCCCTACCCTTCACAGATACTTTCTTTGAGCTCCTGAGTTTTTTCAGACACAACACACAAACATTAGACACGTGGGCTTTCTTATTCTTTGTCTGATTCTTTGGGCCACCTGGACAGAAAGGAATAATGCGAAGCATAGGGATAACCCTTTTCTGTGCTCCCATATTATTTTGCAGGTTGACCGGCATCTCTCCCTCATCACCGCGTTGGACAGGCTGCACGCACCTCACCACCTTGCACCACCTCCGCTTGCGTCTGTCCATCAGCCACGTCCCAGAGCTGTTGTTTGGTTTAAACCCGAGTCGACTTGGGTTAAGCTAAACACTGATGGAGCCTTTGTCCGCCTTACTGGAGTTGCAGGAGGTGGGGGCCTGATTAGGGATCATAGCGGGGCCCTTATTACCACTTTTCATACCCCTCTTCGGGCCTTCTCGAACTATGACGCGGAGGTTCAGGTGCTTCAGATCGGTCTTCAAATTGTCGCCGACATCTTCTCTCACATTTGGATAGAGTTGGATGTTGCCGCTGTCATCACTCTCTTGTCATCTGGCAATCAGGGCACGTGGCAGATTCAACACCCTCTCATGCGTATTAGAGCCACTCTTCGGTCGATTCGCTCTCGGATCTCACACATCTTCCGCGAGGAGAACCGACCTGTAGACTTCCTCACTGGCATCAGATCCTCCACCCCCCAGAGACGCATTCTTTAACCAGACGGTATTCCTCTCCGCCTCCGCACCCTCATACAAATGGACCAGATGGGATACCCTTCATTCAGATTTGTGTAGCGGGCCCTATCTTTTGGCGCATTTGCCACACTGTGATGTTGACTTTCTCGCCGGGACTCCACCCGGATCTGGATATCGTATTTTTGTATTTCCCATTGCAGCTGTCAGTTCTTTCCTTGTTTATTTTCATGCTTTTATTTTTGGTTTCTTGTTTGCCTTGATGTATATCAGACTCTGGACTTGTAGCCTTGTGACTTTTCAGCCATTTGAGGGCCTTTTTTATATACAGGTTGGGGGTTCGGCCTTAACCCCCCACCCTATTTGGGTGTTTTTGCTAAAAAAAAAGAAAGAGATCGCCGATAACATATCGACACAAATAAAGGGGCATCGAGTGTATATTATCTTTTGGTGGATTTTTTTTTTCATTATCTTGTGATGAACCTCAATAACTAAATTGATACATGAAAAAAGTAGGCAAAATATGGTACCTTTGAGCCAGTTAAGGGTGTATCGAGACGACACGCGCCCTGATCATGCAAAACTCCCATTTCGATGATGGTACCGCCTGGGCAGTTGCTTTAATAATTTGTTTTGCCAATTTATGTTTACATTGTAGAGAAATCGACTATTTTGATAAATAAATTATTTTTGGAAAAAAAAAATAATAATGTATTTTATTTCGGTGGAATTTGTCACTATGTGCTAGTGTTTAAGCGATGAACATTTAAATTCGCCATATAAAATATATTTTGTCACTATATGTTAATATCTAGATGCCAAGTATCAGTTTATCATTTAAATTTAAATTTTTAGTGACAATTTAAGAATTTCAATGATGAAATTATGATTATTTAAAGTAATGAGACTGACATCACTAAAACTAATTTTTAATGACAAATCAGAATGATGCCACATATATATTTCGTGAGATGGCTACATTGACGACTGCTATGACGATAAAACTTCGTTACTATATACTTTTAGTGACGAAAAATAGAATTTTTATGAGGAATATGTTCATCATAAAATATCAAATTTCTTGTAGTGTTCAGCTAAGGGTATAGCGAGATGACACGTATCTCCATGCTACTCTTCTTCTGATGATGGGACCGCCTGGGAAGTTGCTTTAACAATTTACTACTTTGTCAATTTCTTTTACAGTGCAGAGAGATCGACTATCTTCATGCTAAATTCTCCCTTTGAACGTGAATCGGTACATCACTCGTGGTATGACTTCTTGGGATGTACCCTTTTCACAATTTAGGCCCATTTAGAGACAGACCTTATCTCCATTTTGTTTGATGCAACTCCAGACTTAGTGGATTGATCCAAACCGTATAAGTAAGTTTAGGTATAACAAAGAATCTCTCATGTACCCAGGTGTATTGCTGTTCGTACGATCGTTATACACTGGGAAACTGCTTGCTAATATCAAACCGTGTGATGGTCTCTTACATGATCACCAATTCTTTCAAAAGGATGATGTCAGCTACACTAACAGGAGATGGGACGTGATAAGGTGCTTTTACAGTGAGAACATAAAATGAGGAGAGAGAATGAGAGAGAGGGAGAGAGAGAGAGAGAGAGAGAGAGAGAGAGAGAAGAAAAACATTTTTAAGGATAAGGTGCGTCTTTTTGGACATGAAAGGATAGGTGTCGACAAGAGGAGGTGTGGATTCACAAATTTTGACGTGAATAAATGTGACATTTGGACTTTGTTCCTTAGTCTACTGGATGTAACGATTGAAGTACGATGTACCCCTCATGATTTGGAATATCTCACTTTCTTTAATTCGGAATTTGATATTCTTATGCCTTTAAATTTTATCTTCACAAAATTAGAGTTCATCGCTTGGCGGGACTGTGTATTTCGTAATTCTTCGAGCAAGTATTTTTAAAACCTCTATTTCATGCTTTTATCAAGACAATACGTCAGATAGTAGTGATTACGACATAGACTTATTGAACGCTGCATTGGCGGGAGACTTGGAAGGTCATGTGAGGGGGCTGATATCTTATACGAGTGACGTTTGAGATCTACAAGAACAAATAGAGGAGTACATAGCGGGCCCGATGCCAAACACTTGTTGGAGACGACCGCCGACAAAAGTACCAACTAATCCCAGTGAGATGGAAATAGTGAAATTGAGGAAATAATACGAAAGTTCCTGGATCAGTAAGGATGCTTGTGCCGTATGAGACCAAGCGGGCCCACTATTCATATCTATAATACGTTGTTGTGCTTAGGGAATCCATAGTGTCACGTTTGGGGTTTTTTCTTTCCCAAGTTTTTTCAAAAATACCTACGAGAATGGGGGACCAGCGTGACCCACGTTCACCTAAACACTGTATATCATTTATGTTCCTTGATCGTCTTGTTTAAGAAGAAGCGTTAGCCAACACCACCTGTAGAGGACTTAAATTCCACTTTTATGTGGAAGACGTCAAAGGGGGAATTGAGATACTTATTATTTTGCACTGTGTGACAATAAGTACACTAATTTAGTGAAAGATATACCCAAATATCGTCACAAGTGAAACCATGAATGGTTCTGGGTGTAAGGAGATTGGAGAACTCGTCGTTTGTCTGGAATTCTTTATAAGCGGCGGCTGCTCTCGTGGAGAAAATGCTTGAGTTTTCGTCAATCTTTCATGGAATTTAAGAATACTCTAGTTGTGTTTAATTTTTTATTTTCTTTTGTGCAGCAGAGAAGGTTCGGTGCTCTAGACTGGAGATTATTTTTAGGTTGCGATCTTCGAGATGAGTTGTCTATCCTTGATCGAAAATTAAGTGTTAGCTTGGGCTGGTTTGCAATCGAATGCTAACCAATCGTATATCCAACCAAATATTACATGTATTTTGTTCATCATGGCGACTACATGATAGCTCAAACCTGTAGATCGACTTGTTTACAGTTTTAATACCTTAAAAATTTTGTTTTGTCGCATGACAATGTTTTATCCAGTGATGAACGTCTTAGGCGCTTCCTCAACCAAAAACATAAGATAATGGGTAGAACTGAAAAACTAGAAAGAAAAAGAGGATGGGGTTGGCTGCGCAGGCAGCTACATCAGCTGCTCAGGGAGCTACATCGCCGCAGCAGGTGGGTATTTCGATGAGGTCTTCCCAGGGTACCGAATCTTGATGACTGTGATTAGACGTCGATCGACAGAAGTATCTAGCTATACTGCAACATCGTTGAAAAGATCGAGGAGGGTGTCTCCCCATCATGATTATCCTTCTACCCCGCCTGCTATTGAAGAGGAAGATATTGAAGGACAACCAGTTCGTTCGCCAAAAGAGAGACAGAGAGAGGGATATGGAGAGAGAGCGAGAGAGGGATATGGAGAGAGAGAGAGAGAGATGGAAGAAGTAGTCATGGAGGAGGTGAACATTGGGTCAAAAGAGATTGTCTGAATCTGGGCATTCTAGATACAAAGTCGATCTTACTAGAGTAAGTCCCAATGGTAGAAACTGAAAAATGGCCCCCAGTAGCATGAGTCATCTCATAGTGGCGAGGCTGAGCAATCGTCTTCTAAGATTTCGTCACTCGGTTATATGCCTCGCAATCCCAGGAAGAAGAGGTTCAATAAAACTTCAAGGGTTGTAGGCCTGACTGGTATTGAAATTTCATGGGATCAACAATACCGAAGATTTTGAATCTTCATGGTGTGTCGAAGAATGCTATGAATGCGACTTGTATCCTAATTGATATGGGATATTATATACTAGACCGGCTTGCTGGGTTAACCGGGGAAAATAGACCGGTTCGTCGGATTACCTAAATAAGACGGGTTGAATGATATGGTCGAACCGGACCAGACACCTGTAATGGAGGACAGAGAGCAGGCAGCAGAGACTAATGGGATTAGAAGTGGTCGCCAGATGCTGGTTACTCGAGGAGCTGGTCGAGGAAGGATGGTCAGATAGGATGTGGTCGTATAAAATTGGTCGAGCAGCAGAGTACAGAAGGGAATCTCCAGCACGTGAAAGGGAGGACACGCGGCGTTCTATGAGTGGCCCATGGCTATAACGAACTCTGACATTCCCTGACAAATGGGACGCGTTTCCTGACATCAAGGGTAGTGGAGGCGCGCGGTTGTACGGACGAGCAGAGGAAAGTTGGCCGAACTCGCCCTACTCGCACGTGTAGAACAGGTAGCTCGCCCCTAAAAATAGGGGCGAGAATCCTCACTTTAGGATACAATCTCAGATACTCTTACATATTTTCATACACTGATATTATCTCTCAAGATCTGACTTGAGCGTTGGAGGCTCTTCACCGGAAAACACCTCCGGTGTGGGAGTTTCGTGCAGGTTCTGTGTTCAACCGGCAAGGAGAACGAGTTTTGGACGACTTCCAGCCGGTCGGGGTGCGAGACTTGTATTATTGGCGCCGTCTGTGGGACTTCATTCAAAAGGTTGTGTTCTGAGCTCTGCTATGGCGGACGGAGTTCCTCGAGTGAATTTGCAGTCGTCGTTCGATGAAGCGTGGACGAAGACAAGACCGATGAGAGCAGAACCTCCACCTGGTTTCTCCGGGCCCTCACAAACACCAATGACCCCAACGCCGATGCCTCAGGGCGCGACGATTCCAGGTGGAGGAGAAGGCACGAGCAGAGAGCGCGAAGCTCGTGAAGCAGCACCAACAGCAGCCCTGACGCTGTTGCAAGCAGGCCCGGTTGTGGCGCAACAGGTCGGACCATCGGTGTAGATAATGGTGCCGCCAACAGGAGGAGCACCAAAACCCCCTGCCCAACAAATGGTGACCATGACGAGAGAAGAGATGCAGAGGATGATGGCCAACGCGGCGGCGCAGGCTGTGCAACAGGTCACTCACCAGACATCCCAGGCTGCTACCACACCTACCACGGTACCAGGGACGCAAAAGAAGGACGTCTCGAGTTATGGCGGAAGAGGAGAGCACAGAGATAGGGCGACGAAGAGGATGGATGAGCAGCTCCGGTAGCTGTAGGAGAAGGTGGAGGGAAGGCCGGACAGACATGCTCGAGGACACCCATTCTCGACGGAAATTCTAGCCGCACCGCTGCCTGCTGGTTTCCGGGAGATAAATCTGATTTTTTATGGGTCGAGCGACCCGTCGAGGCATGTGAGGGCATTCGAAAACATGTCCGTCTTGCACGGGTATTCGGATCTGGTCAGTTGCAGGGCTTTTTTATCGACCTTACGAGGAGGCGCGCTCGATTGGTTCCACCAATTAGCTCCCAGTTCGATCAGAGACTTTGAAGATTTCGCAGGACAACTTACTAATCAATATTCAAGTGCGGTCGCCCAGGAGAAGACATACCTCACTCTGATGGCGATGCGACAAGGCGAGAAAGAGTCCCTGCAGAAATATGTTGCTCGATACAATCAGATGTGTTTAGAGGTGCCCACAGCGGGCGACGAGGTGAAGGCAGGAGGATTGATTAGGAATCTGCGACCAGGACCATATCGAACGTCATTGGCGAAGACGCCTGCTCGAACTTACGACGAGGTGCTTTAGAGATGCAAGAAATACATTAATTTAGAAGAAACAGAAGCTGAGTTTGCCAAGCTTGAGGAGGTAGTGAAACCTGAGCAAGGGAAGGGAAGGCCGAGCTCGCGCAGGAGGGGATCACCTAGAAAGAGCTCCCCAAAAGGAGGCTCATCTAAGAAGCTGTTGCCCAGAAGGCAAGGACGACCTCGGCTACCAAATGGTCAAAGATATAACAACTTCACTTCTATCAACGCCCAGGAGGGCGAAGTTTTGGCCGCCATCGAGGAGAAGCTTGAGAGCAGGGAGGTCACGTGGCCGGCAACGAGGTTCGAAGGACCAACCAAACCCAGGTCGAATAAATACTGTAGATTCCATAGGGATTATGGACATAACACGGAGGATTGTAGGCACTTGAAAGACGAAATCGAGCGTCTCATACAGGGGGGACACTTGAAAGATTTTGTTATCCGTGATCGACCGCGAGGTAAGGAGAGAAGAAGGTGTAGGGAGGATTCAGTGGCAAGGAGTGATAGGGATGAGGATAGGGAAGACGACGCTAGAAGAGAGAGGAGGAGGCGACAGGATGATGGTCGAGAGAACCCGAGAGGGGAAGTGCCCGCGAAGAGGGGCACAATTTATATGATCTCAGAAGGGCCCACGGATGGAGATTCCAACAATGCACAAAAGAGGCATGTGCGAGCTGCGAAGCGCAAAAGGGAAGAGGTCAGGATAACTGGTCGAATGTCGGTGATCAGCTTTCGGGCAGAAGATGCAGAGGGGGTCTTGCTACCCCATAATGACGCACTGGTCATCACGGCAGAGGTAGCAGGTTTCGACGTAAAGAGGGTGTTCATTGACACGGGAAGCTCGGTTGATGTGATGTTCTATGATTACTTCCCGCAGATCAACAAACATTTGAATCTGGAGCTGAAACCGGTAGTGACAGCCTTGTATGGTTTTAACGGAGGGGAGGTGATGCCGATGGGCGAGGTGAGTCTGACTGTAGCATTGGGGTCGGGTGATACCCGGAAGGTCAGGATGGTGCACTTTGTGGTGGTCGGTGCGGAGTCGTCGTATAATATCATCTTGGGGCAGACGGGGCTGAATGCGTTCCAGGCGGTCGTGTCTACATACCACATGACGATCAAATATCATGTGGGTGAAAATGTGGGCGAGATTGCAGGGGACTAGCTCACCTCGAGGAGTTGCTACCAAACCACAGTCAGCAATAATAAGCAGATGTCGAAAAAACAATTAAAAGGTGATGAAGAGAAGCCTGATCGACCAGGAGGGTCGAGGTCGAAGGAGGAGAAGGGATGGCAAGGCAAAGGAAAAGAGAAAATGGATATACAGCCCGGTGGTGAGGTCGAGGAAGTTCAGATGGTACAGGGAAGTGATGATCGAAAGTTTAGGATTAGAAAGGATCTAGAAGAATCGATCAGATCGAGGCTGGTCGGTTTAATAAGAGAGTTCACGGACATATTCGCGTATACCGCGGAAGAGTTGACAGGGATTGAAGCCAGGGTGATCGAGCACAGGCTAAATATTGATCTTAGTGTGAGACCGGTAAAACAAAAGAGGAGACACCACGGCGTGGAAATGGACAGGGTAATCGAGCAGGAGGTCGAGAAGTTGTTGAACGTCGGGCACATCAAGAAGATCCAGTTCCCAGAATGGTTATCCAACACGGTAATGGTGTCCAAATTAGGAGGAAAGTGGAGGATGTGCATCGATTTCCGCGATCTGAATAAGGCCTGCCCGAAGGATCTATACCCACTGCCACGGATTGACAAACTGGTAGATTACACAGCAGGGTGCGAACTGCTCAGTTTCATGGATGCCTCGCAGGGGTACCATCAAATCCCCTTGGCAAGAGAAGATTGGAAGAGGGTAAGTTTCATAACAAGCAAAGGCACCTATTGTTATGTGGTCATGCCATTTGGGTTGAAGAACGCCGGGGCCACTTACCAAAGGCTGGTCGACCAGATTTTCAAAGACCAGTTAGGAAGGAATATGTAGGTATATGTCGATGACATGTTGGTGAAGATCAGGGTGGAAGCGGATCATGTGAGCGACCTGAGGGAGACTTTCCAAACACTGAGAAGGTATGGCATGAAGCTTAATCCAGCCAAGTACTCATTCGGTGTGACGGCAGGGAAGTTCTTAGGGTATATGGTGACGAAACGGGGAATAGAGGTAAACCCTGAGAAAGTGAGAGCGGTGATGGAAATGAAGCCACCTACCAGTGTGAAGGAGGTTCAAATACTAACTAGTCGAATAGCGGGGTTGAGCATATTCATCTCTAAAGTGGCTGAGAAGAGTGGCCCTCTGTTCAAGACGTTGAAGAAGAGCTCGAAATTCTAGTGGACGGAGGAAGCCCAGAAGGCCTTCGAAGAGTTGCGGGAGGTGTTGGCAAACTTGCCCTTGCTAGCTAAGCCAATACATGGAGAAGAACTTGTGCTCTACATATCGGTGGATGAGAATGGGGTAAGCTCGGTGCTGTTGCGAGAAGAAGGGGTGGCACAATTCCCGATATACTATGTCAGTCGAGTAATGCAGGGAGCAGAGTTGAGGTACTCAGAGATTGAGAAATGTGCATTGGCGGTGGTCGTGACGGTCCGAAAGCTAAGACCGTATTTCCTAAACCATAGGGTCAAGGTGCGAACAAACATGCCTCTGGAGCAGACTTTAGGCCGACCAGCGGTGTATGGTCGACTAGTGAAGTGGACGGTCGAGCTAAGCGAATATTCTATCCTTTATGAACCGAGGAGGGCGATCAAGGCGCAAGTTTTGGCCGACTTTATTCAGGAAGGTGCGAAGGAGGAAAAGAAAATGGAGGGAATGTGGCAACTGTTCACGGATGGCTCAGTTTCGAGGAGTGGAGCGGGATTGGGCATAGTACTGGTGTCACCCAAGGGAGATTACTTGGAATTTGCTGTTAAAATGGGGTTTCGAGTGTCAAACAATGAGGCGGAATACGAAGCGGTGATTAAGGGGCTGCAGTTAGCCCTGGCCGGAGGTGCTCGACAAATCCAAGTCCACTCTGATTCCCAGCTGGTGGTTGGACAGTTTCAGGAGGGTTTTGAGATCAAGGAGGACAGGTTGCAACGTTATGTAAATGATATGAAGAGGCTGAAGGAAGAATTCGGATCTTTCGAGTTAATGCAAATACCAACAGAAGAGAATGGTCGAGCCGATCTGTTATCTAAAATCGCTCAAAATTTGGTAGACTGTAAGAGCAGAAGTGTGACCCTGCTCCACATGGAAAGAAGTGTGGTCGAAGAAGAAGTGGTAGAGATCGAGGAAGTCGAAGACTGGAGAGCTCTGATCCGGAAAGAGCTGAGAGAAGGAACAGTCAAAGTAGTGAGAAGGTTTTTCGAGTAAGGAGGGATTCTTTACAAGCGATCGTATGCCGGACCACATTTGCGGTGTGTGACCAAGGAAGAAGGCCAGTACGTCCTCAAAGAGGTACACGAAGGATGCTGCAGCGACCACAGCAAGGCTGGAGCCATGGTGGCAAAAATTTTGAGAGCAGGGTATTTCTGGCCGACAATAAAGGCGGATGCCAAGGAGATGACCAAAAGATGCTTGCAATGTCAGAAACACGGCCCGCTTATCCACCAACCCGCTGAGACAATGACCACTATGAGTGCACCAATTCCGTTCGCACAGTGGGGAATCGACCTGGTAGGGCCAATGCCGCAGGCGACAGGGCAACGAAAATTCTTGATCGTGGCAGTCGATTACTTTACGAAGTGGGTGGAAGCTGAGCCACTGGCCAAGATCACGGAGGAGAAAGTAATCCAATTTCTGTATAACAACATTTGTTGTCGGTCTGGAGTTCCCAAAGTCTTGATATCTGATAATGGAACTCAATTCAACGACAAGCCAGTTAGGGCGTGGTGTGAGGAGATGGGAATCGAGCAGCACTTTGCCTCCGTCGCCCACCCACAAGCTAATGGACAAGTGGAAGTGACTAACAGGATTATATTGAATGGGCTGAAGACAAGACAGGAGAAAGCCTCGGGGGCGTGGGTCGACGAGCTAACATCTGTACTCTGGGCCTACAGAACTACCCCGAGGTCGACCACTGGGGAGACACCTTTCACCCTGGTCTATGGGATGGAAGCGCTGTTGCCGGTCGAACTAGAATTGCAATCCCAGCGAGCAGGAACTTATAACCGGGAGCAGAATGAAGAACTCATGTTAGCTGCCTTGGATACAATAGAAGAACTCGGGGAACAAGCCTCGACCAGAGTAGAGGTGTACAAACAACGGATGAGAGCAGCCCATGACAGAGAAGTGAAAATCCGTCGATTTCAGGTGGGCGATCTAGTCTGGAAAAGGGTGGACGTGCTCAAACATGTAGGGAAGCTGGAGCCTGATTGGGAAGGACCATACTTGGTCGAAAAAGTTCATGCAGGAGGAGCATATTCCCTGAAGGATGCGGAGGGCAGATCACTAGCCAGGTCATGAAACGCAGCTAATCTTAAAAAATATTATGTATAAACATGCCATTACAAGTTGTGACTCCTCTTTTATGCTCGAGCAAATCGGGTTAATGTAATTTCGAAACGAGTTTTGTTCAAGGATGGTCAAAATAATCGATTTCTATGATTACTGATTTCTGTTCATATTTACCATTAATTTCTCACAACATATTGTTTACAAGTTCGACTTGATTTATTTGACGGCATAGTCATAATTCACTTGGAAATGATTAGAGCAAGATTCATCAATATTTATAAGTGGTTACATGGATCCTAACTTCGACATGAATGATACAAAGCGATCACTTATACAATTGCTTTTGAATTTCTTGTGGGATGCACGTGGAACCACGGGCGCAACCCCTGCTCGCCATCATTGGAAGCAAGAGAAAAGTCCTTCGTTTTCGGAACATCCCGGCCAAGGGGTGGGCGAAGGTCGCTTGATTTTGGAACATTCCAAGGGGTGGGCATGTGGTCGACAATGTCCACGCCTCTGGGCTGGACGACCACAATGTTTTCGGAACATCCCTTGGGGTGGGAAAGTGAGAAGACCAAAGTCCTTCATTTTCGGAACATCCCGACCAAGGGGTGGGCGAAGGTCAGATACTATATTTGTATACTCACTTAAAAATTGCAAACGGCTATTAGTTTCACGCCATGAGGGTCATCGAGCAGAAGGGTTGCTACTCTGGCTAAACAAATGGGCGAGTAGTCGAGGATATGAAGAGATCATCAACACAACAAGGATTATACTCAATATCTACACAAAAAAAATCACCATACCAAACAACATAGGGAAGGGCAAAGTAAAAGCATTACACAGAACGAGGAAAACAAAATTAAAGACTTTCATTCCATGCAATTAAAGATACGGGATTACAAACTGCACCAAAATAAAATATAAAAATACATCGTCAATGCCTAAGCTACTTTGAAGGGGCAGTGGTAGACGGAGCAACGCCAGTCGACTGAGCAGCAGCGGTAGAGGATGAAGACATAGCAGCAGACGACTGCACTGAAGAAGTCGACTGGGCAGCCGTGGCCGAAGACATTGCAGGAACAGTTGATGGAATGCTCCCAGCCGATGAGGCAAAATCAGCAAATCCCTACTGAGCCGTCATGGTCGACTGGGCAGCCGTGAAGGGAGCAGAAGTAGCAGCAGGAATGGTCGAGTGCAAGGTGGCGCTCGAAGAGAAGGAGGTAGTAGCAGATTGAGCGGTAGCCAAGGCAGATGGATGGGAAAGGGACGAAAAAGCACTGGTGGTCAAAGGCTGAGGAGGAAGAACGGCCACAGAAAGGCGAACCAGGGGCGCCTCCCCGGGCCTTGGCAGATCGAAAGAGCCCTTCAAGGAAGGATCCCCCTCCAAAGCCCACTCCAAAGACCCGGTCCACCAAGGGTGCTCAGCAGGCAAATTGGGATCTCCAGTGAAGCTAGAAGGTGCAGAG